CCCTGGCCCCCCCCTTGGGCCGCGCACGTGCCGCCGGCCATGATTTGCACCCCCCCTCTTGGACACCCCCACCTTGGCCGCCGCCGACAGAGAGGTCTTGGACCGCTCCAAGACGCAATGCCAGTGGAGCAGGCTCAAGCAGTGCCTTTCGCCAGGGTTGCACAACAGGATTGCCGGACCAGAACGTCGGATGACCGAAGCATGTCCGCATGGTCTGGCCCGCAAGCGGGCGTTTTTATTGAGCCACTCTCATAAGACCCACTGCTGCAAACAGTGGCATTAAGCAGAGGTCCAGAGCCAGACTCCCCCCCCTCCCCCCCTTCCGCCCAGTGTCGAAACGCCGAAACAACGAAACGCTCACCAATATCGGTACACCCAGGGCCGCCGTCGAAACGGCGCGGCCCTCGACAGGATGTCCGCGGCGCAGAGCGAGCACTGCCACAAGTCTGAACGATCAACGGTGCAACGTTTAAGTTGGGCGTGTCTCTACAGGAGGTTCAAAAATAGGAAAAAACAAAAGGGGGACGTTGTTTTCTACTATGCTTGGTCATGTTTGAATATTTTTCGACTACTCTCGACTTTTCATCAAAAATCCGCCCGTAGGGGGACATGCCCGACCTAACTGCAACGTGGGCAAGCGCTTCTGACGATGACGGTCGGACGTATGCCATCTGGATCGGGCGGGTGGCAATGGGGGGTGACCCAAATGAGGGTGAAAACAAGGACCCGAAAGGGGCACTTGAGGGCTCCTTTTGGAGCCGGCGGGGGCCACAAAGGAGCTCTAAAGGGCCCCATTTAGGGCCCTTTTCTTCACCCCCCCATTTGCCCACCCCCACTACCACCCGTCCGGCTGGAAATAATGCGCTCTAGATCTCAACCACATGCTGCACACCAGCTATGTACTGAAAGTGTGCACCCGTTGCTGAGGCCGGTGTGTGTCCACGAACTACGCTGGACAAGTCAAAATTGCAAGCTTGCCAAAGAATACTTGTTTCGACGAGCTGGCTTCAGGATGTTGTTCAGAGACTCCAGAACCAGAGCTTTGCACCTTTTTGTGATGCTTCTGCTCGAGCGTCGATCTTTGAACGCCGCCTGCTAACCGGCTTGCTGGGCCCAACAAGTGCAATCAACATGAAGAATGACGACGTTCAACCGCCTGAGCCATAACGATTACGGAGGCTCACGTGCTGGCAAGAAGGAAGCGCGCGCGGAATGAGATCTATTTCTTTTCGTGCCCTCGCTTCCAGGCTCAATTCGGGTATGGCCAGGACCCTGGGTAAGGGGACCCGGTTAGTGGTAGGGCCCCAGAGCCTTCGAATTGGTCAGAATCACTGAACGAGGTTTGCCATAGCTGGAGTTTTTGTCAGGTGACGGCAGTTCGGGTTAGTGGAAATGGGACGGGGGGCGCCCCCGGTACAGATCACTGAACCAGGTTCCATTAAACCCAGTTCTACCGACGCTCGAAATATGGACATGCCATGCAGCAGTTCTGAACAGAAGTTTCTCCAATCTTTCCGTCGAAGCCTGGGACGCCAAATTGCAACGAATTGGAATGCTTCAAATCACTTCACCACTCCCACAAGACCAAGCTTCTGATATCTGATTGTTGTCTTATTCGTTGTTTTGCCGATCCGACCGGGCCCTCGCACCCCCTCGCCCCATCATGGAGTAGTTTTTGGCTGTGTTTGCCGCCTGTTTCGAGCCGGTGGCCTCTCCCACATAGGACGCGCTGTTGCAAACAGTCGCACTAAGCAGAGGTCTGGAGCCAGACCACCCCCTCTCCCCCCCACCCTCGGCCCACTGTCGAAACGCCGAATCAGGAAACGCTTACTATTGCCTCAAGTGAGAGCTCCACATTGAAGAGGAATCACCTTGGTAAGACGAATGTGCGCGGTGCTGAGGCGAGATCCCCATTTGAAAAGGAGTACAGCCGACACGCATGGTAAGGATGGGCAACCTTCCCAAGGGTACCCTTGCATCCTTCCCTCCTCGGTCCATCCTTGGCCACTTGCGTTGGCCACGCCCCGCTGGCTTGGAGATGGCCTTCCAAGGCCCTTGCATCCTTATCGCGCATCCTTATGATACGGGCCGACTCTATCTCTCCAGCCGTGGAATTGCTGCAAAGTGCTACAACGAAGCTGCGCGGCGCAGAGGCGAGGGTACCACGTAGAGAGCGGACTTCCATCCGGTCTTGAAGCGGATGCAGAGGTTGAAGTGATTGTGCGCGGCGCTATGCAAGCAGACCCATTTGGGAGTGGAACCGCCCTCCCTCATTGAAGGTGCTTCAAGTTGTGAAGACGATTGTGCGCGGTGCGAAGGCGAGAGCTACAGTCTGAAAGTGATCCCCACTTCATCCTTGAAGTTGCTGCAAGCTGTGAAGACGAAAGTTCGGGGGGCGAAAGCGAGAGCTACAGTCGTAAAACTATACAATCCCATCCTTGAGCATTCTGCCAATGGTTGGGACGAGTGCGCGCGGTGCTCAGGCGAGAGCTCCATTTTGAAAACGCCCCCCCCCCTCCATCTGTGACGCTGCTGCACATGTAGAGCACGAGTGTGAGCGGCGCTTCGGCATTGCCAACGCGCCACTCACGGTTGTCGTATAGGGAAATGGAGTTCTTGAAGAGCTCCATTTTCCTCTGCGAAAAGACCCTCCCGCCATCCATCCATGAGATTTTTGTAGATTTCTGGTGCCATGGTCAGACATGGCAAGAGCATGTCACTCGAAACGCGCAGTCCGCCCTACCGACACATCTGGGGGGGACAGGGAGGAGTTGTTCCTGAGGAGTACGGAGGAAGGTGGAGGGGGTGCAGGAGGCGGAGGAGAGGGAGGGTCAGGAGGACGAGGAGGAGGAGGCCTCTTAGGGGGCTTCTTGGGCTCCTTTGGGGCGTTCGGGTAGATTCCTTCTTGCGGTCTCTGAGGGGCCTTCTGGGGGGGCCCTGGGGCTTCTGAGTGCCTTCTAGGGGCCTCCTATGGCTCTCTTACTTAGCCAGTCTGGCGCATTCGGTGCCCGTTTCGGGGGGGCTACATCTGTGTTCCGCATGGTACACCGCGCAGGCACCCAGGACAGGGGGACAATTGCGTGTTTAGCGTACTTGCGCCATTGGAAGTGTTGGGGCGAGTTGGCATTACGTTTGCAAAATAAAGCGTCGCTATGCTTAATTATTCTGAGAATTGGATTATCGCTTACCCCCGACAGTTGATCGTTCCTTCAGGTCGGCGCTCAGATCACCCCCGCTATTCCCAATGCAGTTTCTGTCGGACTTGTGGCGAAGCGTCGGGGGATTCTCTCACATTGTGCTTGATGTTTACTCATTCATGCAGGTGCAACGTATTCTTTTTGATTGCCAGCCCAAATCTTCCAGTCACGCGAGCCATTGATCAGAGTGTGTCGATGCGCAGAAGGGCAGGGGAAGCAGAAGGAGGGGGAATGAGAAGCTTTGTGGCCAAAGAGGTGCGCGGGATGCCCAAAAAGATTCAGCATACAGCACGAGGCGTGTTCCCTGCACGCCTCGGCGAGGGCTCCAGCGCTCGCCACCTTGGCGCCTTCGCTCTGCATCTGAGCTGCCCAGGCAGACCCGTCGGCCGCCCGGACCACAAGGCAGGCCACGTGCCCTGGCACTGCCAGCGGCTTCCGGAGCCGAATGCCCCGGCGGCTGGCACGCACGCGCGCGAGCGCGCAACGCGCGCACGAGCGAGGCGCACGAGCCCACCGTGGGCCGCGCGGGGCGCATGGCGCGGCCCGCATGCCGCGACGCTGGCTTGGCCGCTCCCCGCGGCTTACCACCCGCCAGCCGCTCCCCTCGGCTTACCACCCACCGAACCACCCAAACCGAACCCGAAGGCCTCCATTTGCGTTCCATTTCCAGGGGGGGGGGATCGGCGAACATTGAAAAACACATATGGGGCCCGCACCCCCCCCAATCCGACATGCGGGTCTTCGGGTTGGGTTGGGGTGGTCTGGTAGGCAGTTAGCGACCGCGCACCTCCCCCGCCCCCTCGTGGCGGGGAAGCCTCCACGGGAGGCCTTCGGGCGACTGTCGAACTCGGGAGGGCCCCCCCTCTGGGCCCCCAGGCGGTCCAGAGATGGCTCAGCCCGAGAAGCCGCTGCCCGGGGCAGTGGCCCAGATCTCTGGCGGTCTCTGGGATGGGCGCGGGGGTGCCTGAGGGGAGAGAGGGGTTACCAGTTGACGCCAAGGTGTGTTATACCTGGCCTGACCTAGCTAATTAGTTGGTTGCTTACGCATGCTCCAAGTGGCTTGTGGGGATGTCGATCCAGGCTAAGTGGGCTCCGCCCACAAAGCAGAGCTGACTAATCCCCCCCAGCCAATTGGGGCAAGTGTTACCCACTGATAAGCTAGGCTAGGGCAGGTAGAACCTCTCTGGCCTCCACTGGTAACCCCCCTATCTCCTCAGCAACCCAGCCGCCCATCCCAGCTCGGCATGAAGAGCCGTTCCCGGGGCAGGGGCCCAGATCTCCAGAGGTCCATTCCGTGAAGAATGACGACGTCGGAGCTCCACGGATCGGGAGTCCTCGGGCTGAAAGCCAAGGGGCGACCTCCAGCTCTGGCACGCACAGCAACGGAGGCCTCGAGGACAGCGACGCCATGGCCTTGCGCTGCGGTTGCAGCATCGAGCGGGGCCAGCCGAGCCGGAAGCCTCCTCGTCGTCGAACCGATCGAGCGGCGTGATAGCACCGATGGGCGTAGCGCTTGACCCGATCTACGGACAGTCCCCGCAACATCGACTCTACGATGACGGGCACAGTGAGCACCTCAGACCCCCACGTCATGATTTTTCAGAACGTCGACCATCAGAGGTCCCGACCCATTGCCTTGGACCGGTTTTCCATCCTGAGTCAATGTTTGACGGTCCTGGGGGCCGGTAAGGGGCTCCAGAGGTTGAACATCAGGAAAAACCTCCCGTCGTGTTTTTCCACTGCCCGAGGTGGCTTGGGACCCGCTGGCACCCGCGCCTCTGCCACCCGCCCCCACTGCCGCAGGACCTGGTGAGGGCCCAGGTCGAGGACGCGGAGCACGAGGGCGAGGCGCTGTCGCCAGGACCCGGCCGGGGAGGGAGGGTGGGAGGCAGTGGAGGGGGGGTGGGGCAGGTAGTGTGAGCCCCGTGTTTATGAAGGGACGACCTCCCTTCGTCCTCTCTCAGGGGAGGGGACCCTTACAGTGGAGACCCATACCAAGAAACACCCTGCTTGCCTCCAGGTCGCCCTGGGTTTCTTCGGTTTCGATGGTTTTGCGATGGAAGGCGTGACGTTCCCACACCAAAAATCAATGGACGTCCTGGGGTTCCAGGGTTGGGTTCCTTGTGGAAGCTGTCTTGTGGTTGAGCTCCTACTGCAGTGGGCCCTGGAAACGACAGGTCTGTTTTTGTCAGCTTCCGTTGTGCCGTTTCCTTGCCGATTCTGACAGCGTTTTTTTGCCAGTTCCGTCGCCGTTCTCTTTCCGGTTCTGGCTCCGGCTCCGATCCCGAAACCGTTTCTGTCAGTGTTTCCGGTCGCCGTTTTTCTGGCTGCTTACATTTTCAAGAGAACGTTTTGTCGGAAACGGTGAGAAACGGCCCTGCCGCTTCTGGGGCCCACTTATGAGGGGGGCATCTTTCTCCCGGCGGCGGAAGGCTTCTGGTTCTCCCCCCCGCGGCTATACGGCGGCCGCGGCGCTGCGGCGGTGCGGCGGTGCAGCCTTTTGCTGCCAGCTATGAGTTGCGTGATGTCGAGAGACTCGTGGGATGGGCGCGGGGGGTGCTCAGAGGATAGGGGGGTTATCAGTGGATGCCAAGGGGGTTACACCTGGCCTAACCTAGCTTCCACGTGGGTTACACGTGCCCCAAGTGACTTGGGGGATCAGACAATTCCGCTAAGTGGGCGGAGCCCACTTAGCCTGGATCGCTATCCCGTCCAAGCCACTTGGGGTAGTAGCAACCCACAAATGAGCTAGGTTAGGCCAGAAAGGACCCACCTTGTCATCCACTGATAACCCCCTATCCCCTTAGCAACCCCCGCGCCCATCCCAGTGGCCCCGGCAATCTTAGACCGTTCAAACATTATTCTGGTCCTCATTTTTTTAGTTTTCGAGTTCTTAGGTTCACATCACGACTGCAGGTCTCCCAAATGGGTTCCGAGTCAATCGGGTCGGAGGATCGCGCCGCACCGCCGATGCATCGGCGATGCGACGCGATGTGGAGTTCGATTTTCTTCACGCCGACGGCGCCGATGCATCGCTGATGTCGCGCACGCATCGCCGGCGCATGGGCCATGCATTGACGATGCGGCACTATCCTGCGATCCAATTACCAGGACCCCATTTGGGAGGCATCCCAGACGAATGCAGGACCGGGAGGAAACCTTGGCTGGGATAGATCGGGGATCTCAGAGACCTGGCGGCTCTGGAAGACGTATTGGATGCCCCAGCCATTCAAGAGCGGTTCTGAACGATTCTAGAGCGTTCCGGTTTGCTCTGCAGCGATCTGTCTTAGTCCTGGGGGGCACGCCCGATGGCGGGAGGGTGCGAGGGAGCACAAGTCGTGCGGGCTAGGACGAGGATTAAAATCCGTTCCAGAACTTTCCAGGACGCTCTCAGAGCACTGGGATTCTCCGAGGACGACGCGGCGCCCGAGACAGCCTCCAGAGCCGCTGGCTCTCAGAGATTTTCGAATTATCCTCACGCGATTTTGCCCTCGTCCTGGCTTCGTCTTATTTGCGGGGGTAGGGAGGTGCGATCAGGGGCAATGTTTGGGGGGGAGGGGGTATGCTCAGGCGGGACGCATCGACCCCCCGTCGCCCATCCATCTCCGATAGGGCCCGGTAGCCAACCCCGCCCGGGAGCACAAAGTCTCATTTTCGGGGAGCCTTCCGACTTTAACCGATCTATCGGCGAGGTATCGTAGATTCCAGGTAACGATGTTCCCCCCCCAAGCCCCCCCGCCCTAGCGTCCCCCCTCATGTGAGAGGGCGGCGCGCAACCCATCAGAGGGAGAGTCGGCTGCCGCAGGAGGAGGAGGAGGAGGAGGAGGAGGAGGAGGAGGAGGAGGAGGAGGAGGAGGTGGAGGAGGAGGAGGTGGAGGAGGAGGGAGGGTGGAGGCGGGAGGGGGCGTGCGTCTTGAGAGGGGGGGAGAAGACGAAAGGCAGATGTGGGATGCAGGGCTCGAGCTAAATGCTGTTCTGGCGATTTCGTGGGCCGTTTTCGTTTTGATCTCGTTTTGCAGCAAAGGCAGAACGAAAACAGAACGAAAATAAACGACACCATGACGAAAACGAGAAACACTTTTTAGCTCGAGCCTTGGTGGGGTGCACTCTTCTCTCGGCTCAGCCATGCCACGCTGTGATGGGATTTGTCATCCTGCTATGCGCTGTTTAGCGCTTGGCTGCTGTCTGTCTGTCTGTCTGTCTGCCTGCCTGCCTGCCTGCCTGTCTGTCTGTCTGTCTGTCTTGGTGGGGTGCGTCGATGGAGCAACCAGGGCGCGCGCTTGCCGAGCGTGGCGGCCTCCTCGCCTCCCCTTGCATCTCTTGCCGGGAAGGCTCGCCGACCACGTGCCGCACGCGCAACCGAGCGACAGCATGCGAGGGAGGGTTCGAGAAGCACCTGCACTTCTGGTTGGGGAAACGTAATACTCGAGTACGTTGGAACTCGGGTTCGCCTATGCTTTTTGACGAGCGCGTCCTGGATTTTGACGGTCAAGTCCTCGTGGGGTGTCTGCAGCGGGAGCCCGCGTCAAATTTCTGATTGGGTTGCGTTGTGTTCATGATGGCCCCGTCGGACCAACCCGAGTCTCCCGAACCCGAGTCTCGCGTCTCCCCGACTGGGGTGGAATATGCAGTGCAGCCGTGCTTCCGCGCGTGCTCCGCGCACTCATCGCGCCGCGGGGCATCGGCGAGCAGCCCCACGAGCGCACGAGCGCACGCGCGCGCGCGTGCGATGGCAGATGTGGAAGAGTTGCTGGAGCAGCCCATCGCAGATGTAGACAGCACGGTGCGAGCACTGGATTCGCACCAATCACTCGACGCAGGGGGCTCGGCGACTCCTGCGTCTCGAGCTGCAGACGGCAGCCCGGTTGATCGGACTCACGCGCAGGGTGGTGCCTTCTTCAATCCTATTTTGAAGCAGCTCAGCTCCTCAGACGCAGCCACACGCACTGGCGCAGCCGTTGGCCCCAGCCCATTGGCACGTTATCCTGCCTCCTGCCTTCTCCCTCTTCCTGTTCGTTCTCGTCCACGCTCCTTCGCCATCCATGCAGGAGCGCGTCTCGTCCTTAATCTTTACAGCAGTGGCGGGCTCAGTCAATCAATTGCATGGTCTCACCCGCGAAAGCAGCAGTCAATCTGCCGACGCTGTGCGTGTCTTGGGCCTTGCGCAAGTAGAGGAACAACCTCGAATCATGATAATAACATGATGCAGCACAATCGCAATAATACTGGTAGGACGAAGCACAATAATACCAGTAATAATACTAGTAACTAGTAACACGAATAACACTAAGAATAGCAATGATAATAATAATAAGAAGAATAATAATAAGAAGAAGAAGAAGAAGACGGGGCAGGAGGAGACCCATGCATCCGGCTGCTCCATTTTTTCCGATGCGTGGGTCCTGGAGGTTTGGACCACTTCCCCAGGGCCAGTTTTTGGCCCTGAGTCGTTGTCTGACGGTCCCGAGGCCCCGCGAGGGCCCCCAGAGGGCGAGAACAGACAAAACCGACCGCTGCCACTTTTGGGGAGCATCGCATCTCTGGGGAGGAGGGCTGGTGCAGAAGGAGATGGAGGAAGGGCAGAACGAGGAGCAGAAGCTCACCACCCACCAAGCCACCCCAACCCAACCCGAAGGCCTCAATTTGCCCTCGATTTCCAGTCGGGGAACATGGAGAACACACACATATGGAACCCGTACCCCCCCCCCCCCAACCCAAAATTCGGGTCTTCGGGTTGGGTTGGGGGTGGTCTGGACAGGTAGTCAGAAGGGGTAGGAGGGACCAGCTCTGCCCCCGCCCCCGAGCCCTGACTCCGGGAGGCCCCTGCTCAGGCCCTCGGAGGCCCGCGCAGGGGGGAAGCACATGTCCGACGGCCTCCTCGGCTTGCCTCCCCCCTCTCCGCACACAGGGGCGCTCCTCCTTCGTGCCAGGCCTCCCAGAAGGGTTCCTAGGAAATCCCCGACCTCCCGGTGTGAGAACATCACGACGGGAGGTTTTTCGCTATTTTCGGCCTCCAGGGGCCCTCCCTGGGCCTCGGGAGCGTCCGAAAACGAATCAGGACGAAAAACTGCCCCCGTGGAGGCTCTGAGGGGGTTCAGACCCCGGGGCGTCACGTCACGAAAAATCACGACGGCGGGGGTCTTGGGAAATAGATCGCGCCGCATCGCCGATGCATCGCCGATGCGGCGCGCTGCTCCGACGTCGCCAGTGCATCGCCGACGCTGCCTTCGCATCGCCGGTGCATCGGCGATGCGGCGCGATCCTCCGGCACCATCTAGTCGGATCCCATCTAGGAGGCTTCTATCAGTGGGCCCCAGAAGCCGCTGGGCCGTTTTTTTTCTGCGGTCCCGAAAAGATAGATGTCTCTGCAGCATGGAAGCAATGAAAACGGCAACTGGGAACGGCAGACAAATTGTTCCAGACTTGGAGCCAGAACACAGAACGGCAACAAAAACAGGCGACGGAACGGGAGACACACCAGCGCCAGAACTGGCAACAAAAACATGACAAAGCGGAACCAGTGATCAATAATGCCGTTTCGTGTCTAGGCCCGCAAAGGGTTCCTCCCTCCCTCCCCAGACCCCCGACGTCTTCTTGTTTTCACAACGTCGACCCCCGGAGGTCTGGAACTCTTCCTTGGAACCGGTTTTTCATCCTGAGTCGTTTTTTGACGGTCCCGAGGCCCAGCGAGGGCCCAGAGGCCGAAAATAGCGAAAAGTTCCCGTCGTTTGTTTGCTTTTTTTTGTATTAAAGAAAAAAAACGCGAGGAGGTTTGGGTCCACTCCCTCCTGGGTAGCCGCCCTGTGCTGCTCTGCATTCTATAAGTGGCCGTTTGGGCCGCTGGGGAGCCGTCGCACGGCGCCCTTGCGCCCCTCCGCCTCCTCCTGCCGCTGCTGCTGCCTCTCTCTCCTCGTCCTCCCCCGTTCGTCGCGTTGCCAGGAGCGGGAGTTGCTCAGGGGATAGGGGGTTTATCAGTGGACGCCAAACACGACCGGAGGTTTTTCGCTATTTGTGGCCTCCAGGGGCTCTCGCTGGGCCTCGGGAGCTTCAAACAACGGTTCGGGATGAAAAACTGGTCCCTGGGAAGGGGTTCAGGTTGGCATCCACCCATGAACACCCCTACGTATTCCCTTAGCAACCCCCGCGCCCATCCCAGTACTGGATCGTCGAGCAAGAAAAGTGCGTTGCGAAACAAAGAAGCACAATAACAACCAATCGGCCACACGTACAATATAAGCTCTACCAAAGGAAACCTTCCACAAGAAACCCAACATTGAGACCCCAGGACGTCCATTGATTTCTGGTGTGGGAACGTCACAATCTCCATAGCCAAACCATCGAATCCCAAGAATCCCAGGGCACCCTGAAGGCAAGCAGGGAGGGTGTTTCTTGGCATGGGTCTCCACTGTAAGCGTGACCCTTCGCCACCAGAGTGACCTTTGGTGCGCGATGCTCGGGGTGCGCGGGAGGGGGGGTCCAGGCCCAATCGCGCAGGCCGCTACTGTCGCATCGCGTGCACGGTTCGGCAAGCCGCCCATCAGAGGTCCTTCTTGCTTGGGGTCATTGCCGAAGCAAGCCCAGACTCCCTCGGGCAATGAACAGTTCATGACGGGAGGTGTGTCCTAATCTTCGGCCTCTGGACGCCTTTAGCGGCCTTCGGGACCGTCAACAATCGATTCAGGATGGAAAAGCCAGCCCAGGGGAATGGGTCGAGATCTTTGAGGGTCGAGGTCATGACAAAAATCATGACGCCCGCCCTGGGCGCGGCTCCGCCGCCCCCCGCCCGCCCACGGCAGGCTCGTGCCGTGCCGACGCCGCGGGGATCTCCTCACATCGCCCGATTCTCTGGAGCGCCGGGGCCGCCCTTCGCGGAGCGCCGGCGGCGGGGTCGCCGGCCAGTCGACACGGCGCGAGCCCGACGCAGCTTGGGCGCGGCTCTCCGCCCTGCCGCACTCCGCCCGCCGTCTCCCTCTGGGCGCAGCCTCGGTCGCTCCCGCCCGCCGAGCTTCGGCACGGCCGCGCTCCCCGCCGCTGTCCATCGCTCGGACGTCCATTCCGCGCGCACTGTTTGGCTTCGCGTGCTTTTCCTTGGCTCGCAGGAGGAGCAGAGATGCTCCTCGACAGTCCTCTGAGGGTCGGCGGTATGAAACGGTCACGACGTCGGGGGTCTTCGGGTTGACCCAACAGGGGGTCCAGCGACAAGGGGGTGGTGCAATATATGTTGTGCAATCGATTTGTGGGGTGCGCAAATGTATTGCTGGGCTTTCGCGTGCAATACATTACGTGCCAGACAATGTAAGACAATTCTCCTGCGCAATAAATTTGCAATACAATTGCCCAACATCTATTGCACCACCCCCTTTAGGCCGGACCCCCTTTTGGGTCACCCAAAGGTCTGTGGAAAAACGTCCCACAGACATCAACGCACCTCCCCCGTCCCTCGAGAGAGGGCCGCGGGCAGCGCCTGCAGCAGGACGCCTGGGGCAGGGGGAGCCGCGGGAGGGCCAGGGCCGTCGGGTGCCCGCGCCAGCGGCGCCTGGAGGGCCTCCTCCTCCTCCTCCTCCTCCTCCTCCTCCTCCTCCTCCTCCTCCTCCTCCTCCTCCTCCTCCTCCTCCTCCTCCTCCCTCCTCTTCCTCCTCCTCCGCCTCCCTCCTCCCTCCTCTTCCTCCTCCTCCTCCTCCTCCTCCTCCTTCTCCTCCTCCTCCCTCTCAAGACAAACAAGGGTCATCCTCCCTCCAGGGGCCCGCCAGTGCACGCTGACCTTCCACTTCCGCGACCACATGTGCACGAAGGAGGCACGCGGGCCGCCCCGCGGGCTGCACCGATCGGCTTGCCGCCCCGCGACCCGGCTCGATCGCCCGTGCCTCGACGCTCGACCGGCCCGATAGGCTGAGCTCGGCCGGCCGTCCTCGCAGTCAGTCAGTCAAGCCTGGCGCACAGACGGCGCATTGGCAAGATAAAAAGTTGTGCGTGTGGCAGAGAAATGCGGGCAGTGAGAAGGATACGAATTCACCTGCAAACGTGTCGGCGACACGCGGGAGGAGGGGAAGGAAGGGGGGGGGGCGGAGGGAGGAGGGAACGAAGAAGGGGGAGGGACCACCTCAGGACCACTGTTGTGGCAGAAGCTTGTAAACACACGAAGCCCACTATTGCTTCGGTCTGCCTCTCTTCCGGCATTGGTCCCAGACCCGAGGTAAATATGATCCGGGCTTGCAGGGGAGAACTCGCAGCGGGTGGTCTTGTGTCAACCCTGCGATCTTGTCGTATAGCGAAGTCTGCCTCTCACAAAGCGCCTCACTGAGAGGGCGGGTTCGACATATGTTCAAAACTTGGTCGTTGGGCACTCTCGACAAAGATGAATGTGGAATGCGGCAAGTACGCCTGAGACACTGCGCATTGAAACTGTCTAATCTCTTTTTGTCTGCTTTTAAAAGCCGCAGTGTTTCTAAATTGTATAAACGCTTTGGAAGCACAATCGCAATGTACAGCTCGAGTTTCCTAGACCTCGTAAAGTTGGCGTGTGACCAACAACGCTGTAACGCTGTGAACACACCGCGTGCCTCTCCGAGGCGCCGCGTTAGCTCCGGCTTGGCGGTGGCGTCTGCGTTTAGAAGACCACCTAAATTAACAATTTGCCGTGCAGGGACCTCTGGGGTGCCCGAGGGGGCCTTGACAACCCCATTTTTCTGTATATTAATGGCCACCGTCTTGGCCCAATTTAATTCGAGGCCGTACTTTTTTCCTTCGCAAATCACAGCGTCTAGCAACGTCTGCAATTTCTTGGCGCTGCTACTCGCAAGCATTGTATCATCTGCGTATAAAATGTCTGGGCAAACTAAAAATTCTGGTTCGACGACATCTGTGTGCACGCCCTCCACTGCGCGATCAACGTCGAAAAACATCACGCTCTGCACGATAATGAACAAATACGGCGAGAGGGGGCAGCCTTGTGCTATGCCTGATGCTTGGCACCGCTGCGACGAATTACCCGCGGAATCCTGCAGAATAAATCGCCGTGCTGAATACATACTTCCTATCATGTCCACCATCTGTTGTGGGATGCCAAAGCTAGTAAGAGCTCCAATTAAAATGTCGTGCTTTATCTTATCGAAGGCTTTCGCCCATTCTAAGACAACCGCGATGAGTCCACGGGCTTTCGCCGCCTGCGCTGCATCAAACATGCGTCTAACAATAGCTATGGCTTGGGAGGTGCTCCGGTTTGGTCGGAAACCGAATTGCGAATTCCGTATTCGGCTCTCCGCGCCTCTTCTTTGCAAGCGTTTTTGCATCATCCAGGCCAGGATTTTGTAGGCAGCGGGCAATAAAGATATCGGCCTGTAATTATCAGGCAGACTAGTGTCCCCTTTTTTGTGCAAGAGGGCGACTACAGCTATTTGCCATTCATCTGGGATGGCTTTCTCATCCCAGCACCGCCGGAAGAGAGACAGCAACGATTGCATCGCTTCCGAATCGCACAACAAAGATTTATAAAATTCTGGAGGCACCTCGTCGATGCCCGCGGCTTTCCCTGTGGAGAGAGCTCTGAGAGCAGCTGACAATTCGCAAATGGAAAACGCAGCAATACTTACAGGGAGGGTTTCTCCCATCCTGGGCCTCTCCTCGACCGCAAGGTCAGGAAAGCTCACTGCCCACTGCACTTTTTCAAAATAGTCGGCCAGAGTGTCTGCTCTACGATCGCTGTCCACTAGCTGCCCGTGCGCATCCCGTATTTGAACAGGCTTCTTCGCTTTGCCTTTCCTCAACTTGCGCACGGCGTTCCAAGACCCGCTGATCAACTGATCGTCCAGCCACTTCCGCTTGTCCTCCCAGACACTCGCCCGGATACGCTTGTTCAGTGCATGTTCGCAGTGTCCCGCACGGTCACGCTGTTCCAGTAGAGCCACTGTGGCGCGTGATATCCATGGTTTGTGCGCTGACCTCCGCGCGCGCGCGAGGACAGTTGACGCTGCGAGCATCGCCTCATTCACCTTGGAAGCGTGCTCGTTGATCGTGGCTGCCCTCCCAGTGGTCGTTTCGTTGGCTTCGCGGAAGTACCGGCAGAATTGCATCTTGATCGCATTGTACGTCATAAGTTCCCGGAGGTCGAAATTCTGCTTCGCCGTATGTTTGTCCATTGCGTGTAAGTCGATGCCTAAGTGTACTACTAAAAGGAAATGTCTGCTCGCCAGCGGCACGGTGCGATCCGAATGCACATCGCGTATTTCCCCCAAAAATGGCCCATCAATTAGGCAATGGTCGATTTGAGCAAAGTCTTCTCCTTCCACAGCCTGCCCCGTCTTGGAAGCGTGCGTGCCGTAGTATGTGATGAGCTTGCCGGCCTCGTGCGGGACGAACGTGCTAGCAATCTTGATGTCAGATGCCCGGCAAGATTCGAGCAGCAATTCTCTATTGAGTCGGTCCCGACGTTTTGGCCAAGCGTTGCGGTAGAAATAATTCCCCATGATATGATCGTCCCCCGGTTCTTGTTCATATAGCCAGGTATTGAAATCCCCCATCGCGAGCGTACCGTTATGAGCTCCATGCCGCGGCCACGCCGCCGTGAAATCGTCGAACCATGTCCGCCTTTGTTCATGCTCGTATCCAGCGTGTGGCGCGTTCCACGTGAATAAAGTTAGGGTCCCACCAGAGACTTTGATTTTCAAATTTGCCAGCCTATCGGAAATTAGACTGAAACTGACGACCGCTTTGATCGCCCATGGGGCAATTAAGAATCCAACTCCAGAGTTAAAACGCCCAGTAGTCTCCACTGACATGCCAGCTAAGATGACCAAGAAACCAGAGTCGACGAAGTGCGTGGATTCAGTAATGCCTGTCTCCTGGATGCAAAGTATGGATATGTTATGTTGTTTCATGTGGTATTGCAACTTTGGTAGCTTCGCCATGTCGTAGCCTAAGCCTTCCACGTTCCAAGATGCCAGTTTGGGTCCATTCAGCGGGTAGCACAGCTTCTTTGGGCAACCCCATTGCATGCCCTCGCGCGGTTTCCAACGACTGTCGCCAAGAGGATTGCCACCTAATGGGGAAGGTGCCGACGGAGGAGAAGTAAAAGTATGAGTGCCCGTAGTTGGTGATATCTTCGTTGTTGAATGTACGCCCATGCCGCAAGGCGTTCTGGTACAGTCGCCTGGATGACCATCCCCATCAAAATCTTCATAATGTGATGGAGGAGAGCTGTCGGCGGTGGTATCTTTGCCCAGCCCCGAGGCGGATCCAAGATAGGAAGGGGAAGAAGTGGGAGATCGGGTATGTGAAAATACGTATAGGTGAGTGCGTCCATGAAGAGGTCGAGAATCTTTTTGCCGTAGTGCAGGCTGGCTGGTAGTTTTGCCCAGTTCTGCCATCGACCGTGCCGGCAGTAGTGGTGAGACCGGCGTCTTCAGTGACCCCTATTCTGGGCCACGTCTTTTGGCTCCTTTCTTGCCCCCTCCCGTTGTCATGCCCTTGCTCCCTCCCTTCATGCCCGCCGTCGCTTTGGCCACTAACTTGTCCGAGTTGCTCTGGAGCTCAACTACCTCGGGGCTGTTGTGGAGCTCACGCCAATCCGCCCATTCACCATGCCACTCGTAAGCTACCTTATCCGGAAAAACGTGCGCTATCAGGGCCATTTCCCACCCGACCGTCATTGTGTACGGCGCCTCGTCGCTCACGGTGACTGTGTCGGGAATGTTCCACTCCTTTTTGAAAACCCGCTTCAACCCGAAGCAAAAGTTTCTGGCGGCCCGCTCAGTGGCGGGCTTGTCCTGGCTTGCCCACACCTGCTTCGCCCCGGACGTCAAGCACGCTCTGCGCAAGAGTTCAACTGCGAGTTTCCGCGCCTCGGTGTCGCGGAACTCGGCGAAGACGATGTTGTTGAAGTCGCCCTTGGAGTAGACCTTGTCCGGACGAGGCCCCCCAAGTGAAGCAAGCTTATCTTGCAACCACGTCGTCGCAGCGATCAGGTCGTGAAGGCCATTCAGGTTGCCGACGACTGCAGTCACCGCGCGCTTGTCGACGGCGTGCCCCATGCGATCTTGCCCAGCTGGATGTTGCGCTGGTAGCTTGGCCGTGTACTTTGCGATGTGCTCCTGGATTGTGTTCTCAAGCGACTCGCCGGAAGACGTTTGATGCGCACGGAGTTCTTCGCATAGAACTTCGAACTTCTCCACACGGACGTCCGTCATGCTCATGTGGCTCTCGAGGGAGTCCAAACGTTCGGAGAGAGTCGTGTTCAGGTCCGTCAGGTTGCTGTCCATCCTGCGGAAGTTTTTCTCAAGTCTTCCACTGCGGAGGTCACCGGGCCTAGCTGCTGCTGCTGCTGAAGGAGAGTAGCGATGCCCTTCATGGTGACCGGACCCTCGTCGCGATGCCCTTCCGGAGGGAAAGGAGGAGGCGGACCCAACGTCCCCGTCGTCTCAAGCCCGTCCATCACGTTGAGCGGGCTGCGGATGCGGTGCACCTTCGCCTCGCGGCGCTTGGGAGTCTCATCAAACGGGTTCGAAAAGAGCTTGCCCACTGGAGTACCTGGGAGCCTCCTGCTTCTGGACGTCTCGCCCTCCCTTGAGTCTGGGATGTGCTTCGCAAGTTCGCCTTCCAAGTCGACTGGAGACGGAAGAGCGGCAACATCGGCAGCCTCGGAGGCCGCCGTGGACGGTGTAACAGGGGGGATGCGAGTCGTAAGGATGCGGGCTCACCGCTGCCCTGGGCAGGGCGTCTGCGCGGTGAGGATCGCGAGAGTAGTAAGAGCGCTTTGCGCTTGAGGCCTTTGCGCTTGAGGCCTTTGCGCTTTGGCTCAAGC